CGCCCCGCGCCCCGCGGCCGCGGGCCGCTCGGCGGGCGGGGGCGGCGGCGGGGGCGGACGCGCGCTGCGCCCCCGCCGCTGACGGCCACTAACGCCGCCCACACCCGTTGCTCCTCCGCTCCGCACGCCGCAGCTCATTCCAGTGCGCTCCCACTTTAGCCCTGTCGGCGTTGCAGCATTTGTACGCGGCGTCACCGCGGGACAGATTAAAGCCGCCCTTAAGTCACTCGAGTTGTACCTCCGCTACGTAATGCTTTACGGCTTCAATCGCATCCGTAGATTGAATTTTTGAGATATCCATAAGTTATTGAGATCTTTTATGAAATACTCTAGTGCTTTCTCAAAAGATACTGGATGGAGCATGCAATCGAAAAGTTCCCTGACTAACAGTGATGCATCCTGTGAACGCCAAGTATTTAGCTGTTGGCAGCTTGCAACATTCGACTGATTTTTGATGTAGTGTAGAAATTTTGTTGATTGTTTCCTGGGTATGTGGGCAATAGTCATTGTGTTATCTGTCGCGTTAATAACAGGGAATTTTTCGATGATCTTATGTTGATTATAAATAGTTTTCTCAAAAATAGTTTCAAATTCATATTTCAATTTTTTTTTACTTTTTTATATAGAATAGTTTTCTTAATAAGTCTGATTAAAAATATCTGACACTATTTTTTCGTGGTGATCCTACCATCTAGACTGCAATTACCTAAATGTAATATTAGTGATACAATTCGCGATATCGATACTACTGATCTGAAAGGAATGAGATATATTCATCTCGTAAAGTGAAGTTACAATGTTTCGTCACCTTCAGCCTCATATAAAAGTTATAGAGGTTAGTAAATAATGTGTATAATTTCACTTTCAAATTTCCGTAACTGGCTATCTTCAAACATCAATTTTGATCATCGAAATTCTTCAGTGCATCTGAAGTTCTTAGCGATCAAAGCAATGAAACAAAACACTAAAGGAAAGACACTTAAGGAAGTACGGTCGGTTTGGACTTCACACGATTAGATTCTTCTCGCGAACTGTCACATTTTTCGCGAATGGCGAAACTGTCCGGTTTTTTTTTTACAAAAACCTTTCGCTTGCTCACAACATTGTAGCGACTTCACGACATTCTACGTCATTTTCAAGTTTCACCAAAGATATTTGCAAGGCCCACTAGAAGCTAGCCGCTTACGACTCGCATGCACGTTAAGCGGCTCCACGCATTCGACGTTGGCCGAGCAGCGGACCTACAACTGTGTGTTCGGCGAATGTTCGCTCCCTTTAAGCAACAACTCATCCTCCCACACTACTCAAGGGTCGCGAGCGGTTGCTCGCTACTCGCAGAATACCGAGTGTATGAAGCGGGGCCGCCGCTCGTTTGTGAGAAACCCTGCGTGGGCGAGGCGGAGGAGCCGAATGGGCCGCGGAAGGGGTGGGAAGGGGCGGGGCGGCGGGCGCGCCGCTCGTCGCAGGCTTGTAAGCGCCCGCGGGTGGGTGCCGTGCGCATCGCTGCGGGGCTGGGGGGAGGGGATGCGGTCGCTTATCGAAGAGGTAAGCTGCGAGCGAGAAAGAGGGAGAGAGAAAAAGAGAGCCCCGGCCGGGCCGCCACGAACCTTGTTTCTTTGCGGCCGTTCTCTTTGCAACTTGCGCACAAGAGAAACTGACTCAAGAATTTGTCATTACGGTATTAAATCGCTTTGCTTCGTGAAGAAACTAATCAGTTACGCCTATTTGGGAGTACAGTGCAGGTTGATAATGAAAATGTAAACACAACTTGGCGTGTTGTTAAAATATCCAGTCTTCTGTTGTTTATATTGATGGTACGGCTCGAGCCACTTTGCAAAAGTAGTATATACTTTGTGACTCGAATGAAATCGCGGGAGGATTCATTTCCAACCGACACCGTAATTTGGCGATGGGCCGAATATATATTTTGTAAGGTTTATCCTTGGTAGTAACTTTGGAGCAGCAAAATCACCGGGGGAAGGGAGCGTGCGCGATGAGGTTGCGAGTGCGGCATCTGGCGCGCCGGCCCGCGTGCCGTGATGCGGTGAGAGTCATGCATGCTGAGCGAGCGCGTGGGGCCGTAGGACCGTAGAGGGCGTGCCGGCGCATAGGCGGCGGGGTCCGGGGGGGCGACGCTTGCGTGGCGCCCGACCGCCCCTCCGCCGCCGCCGCTTGCCCGCGCCCGGTCCTTGGTAGAGCTGTGATCCGCAGTAAGCTGTGTCACTCACCAGTACAAGAAGCCGCCGAGCCGCCGCGGCGCGCGCCGGCGGCGGCTGCGGGGGGGCTGGGCGCCGCCACACGTCACCACTTGAGGCGAGCGACCCCCCGCCCCCCCCCCCGCCCCCGCTGCCGCCGCGCCGCCACGGCGCCGGCCGCCCGGGAACCGCCGCCCTAACCTGCTAGTGTGCCGCCCCCAGCGCCGCCCGGCCCGACCCCGGCCCGCGCCCCCGATGCACGACATAAGCGTGGACGAGGACACGGAGGTGGACGCCCGCGAGCACGACTGGCGCTTCGGGTTGGCGTCGCGACGCGGTCAGTCGCCACCGTCGCCGCCGCTCTCGGTGTCTCTCACTCTGCCTCCTGTGTCTCTGTCTCTCAATTTTACGCTCTACCTCTTCTTTATTTCTCGCACTCTCACTCTCTTTTTCTGTGTCTGTGTGTCTGAACCTCCCGTTTCTTTCTCTCTCTCTCTCTCTTCTTTCCGTCTGTGCCTGCGTCGCTGTTGTGGCCCCACGATTCCCCACGAGGGTCGCACGCGCCATTGTCCCTCCCGTTCGCGCCCGCTGGTTGTGAGTAGTTTGCTGTGCCGGCTCCACCCCCGCAGCCTCCCCGACTCCCACGCTCCTCGTGTCCGCCTGTGTCTGTCTCTTTCTCTCTTTCGCCTGTCTGCGTCGCCTGTCTGCTTGACGCGGCGGGGCCGGCCGCATGCGCATGTGGTCCCCCTGGGGCCCGGCCCGGTCCGGCCCCGTAGTCTCTTTTGCTGTATCTGTATCTGTGAGCCTGTATCTGTGTCTGTGTCTGTTTGCCGTGCGAGCGCGCCTGCGCTGCGCCGCCGCCCACGCGCTCACCCCGCGCTCTCTGCCCCAGCAGAAGACGAGGACGATGCGACGCTCCTGCCGCTAGAGTCCGCCGCCGGAGGCGCCCACGTCGCCTCCACCACCACACGGTGAGCCCTACACACCCGCCCGCACAGCGCGACGCACAACAAATGTTGTGGACCAAGATGATCACTGTTTGCCAATGAACACGTCGTGAAACATTCAAAAAACTCATTGCCATTTCCCCCGATTGTTAGGCAACTCCGCACGCGCCTGTGTTGGTCACGTGAAATTTGTGACTTGTCATAACTTGACATGCCGAACATTATTGCGTGTAAAGTTGCCCAACTACCAGACGTAAATGTCACATTAGTAACTTCGTTACAAGAAATTTCTCAACAAATTTATTAGCAAAACGTTCTTTTCCGATCTCTCTACATGCCCGAGAAGTTTGTAACATTTATTGTGAGACAGTCTGTATTTTATTCACTCGCCTGAGCGACTATTTTGACTCTCGCATCTGCCAAGTTTATTGAGGGCGTGGTCTGTTATTAACAATGAGAAATAATTCGCATTCATTTCACAAACGTTAGCTAACCTGTGCTGCCATTCCGTCAACTGGAGAATGTTCACAAGAAATCAATGCATATATGGAGCTAGAATGTAATAAAAGTACCCTTTATAACTTCCATCTTAAGAAATGTTATTTACATACGAAACTATTTGATTCAAATTTAGACAAATCGAATTTGATTTGAAATGATTGATAGTAAACCCCCTGTGTGATCGCCCCCTTGTGTGCGCAGGGACGTGGACGGCAGCGTGGTGACGACGGTGACCCGTGTGACGACGGAGCAGCGAAGCGAGCAGCGCCCGCAGTAGGCGCCGCAGCGTCTCCTGCAACCCCGCCCCGCCCCCTTCCCCGCCACACAACGAACGTAGACTTCACGCTCCCCTGGCAACTGTATCTCGCCAGCCACCAGCTCTACAGCTCCCGCGTGCTGACGAGCACGACTAGCTTACTCGTCTCCAAACGTATTTACTCTTTGTTCTTTTCTTTCTTCGTACCTTCGTGCAAAAACGTCGAGCTGCCCTGTGTTGTCCGTCGTCGTGTCTGTGTTGTGTCGTAACCGTCCCCGCTTTTCTTGTTAAGTGGCATCGTACCCGTGAAGAATCGTAAGGAGGGGACGAAAGGAAGCGGCTGGTGAGGGTTGGAACGGGCGACAAAGAAGCAGCGCTCTGCGGATTCTGTGACCAGACTTAATTTTTTTTTGCG